TAGTGGTTTCCAAAGTTGTTTTATGCACTGAAAATAACAGGAGGAGAGGTCAATGGATGGCTTGAAATCCATGGCTGATAGATGGGGGAGTAGGGACAAACCAACGCAGACGAAACCTCTGGGGTTGGACAAAAAAGAAAAACTATTGAGCTGAGTGCAGGAACACTTCATAGTCAACCATTCACACAACCACAGGAGCACAGGCACTTCCGCTCCGAGCCAGGGTGACGGGGCTGCACCCTGAGGGGAACGGAGAAACAGAACTTCAAAGGGACAAGGACATTTCACAACTACCTCATCTCATACACAAAAGAACAGAAGCCTGCATCTGCATGCAAATGAATCTTTGTCAGGGAAGAGATTGCCCGAGGACACGACCAACCACTACAAACTCCTTTCCAATTCAAGGGTTGGCTTTTCAGGCCATCCAGACCAGGGACTTCTGCTCTCTTCCCTTGCTGAGGCCGCAGCGCAGCACTTCCCTGAGTGACTCATGCAAACCTGGAAACAGGACATTTAACACATCCAGGAATCAACAGACCACAAGCATCCCATCTGCTTTCTCCTACTACAAACTCTTCAACACACTTCCATGGCATCACGGACTCCAGCTCAACACTCAATCCTGGGATTTGTTAACGTAAAAAAACCATTGAAACCTGTCAAGAATTTTTGTGAGTTTATTTGAGCCAAACTGTCGACATATGCCGGGAAGCAGAACCTCAATGAATTGAGATAATGCTCCGGAGAATGGCGTGGTTACATTTGTATTTATACATTTGCAATCAAAGGAGGGACATAGGTGGGTTACATGAAATTCATTGGTGATAGTTTAAGGAGGAGGGATAAGCAAAGCAGGGAAACCCCTGGGATTGGATAAAAAGTAAAATGATGGACACACACTTAGGTGGGTGCAGGAACAATTAACATGATAATAATGAAGGAATTTGTGGTATCTGTCCTGGGGCCCAGCACATTTCATTGTGCCCCAGGGGCTCCAGATACAGGGAAATCACAAGTTACCCCGACATTTCAAGGGTATGTTATCATAGATGCAAAAAGACAGATAGGCTCAGTGAAGGTAAAGGTTGACCTTGTCAGTGAAGATACTGGCCTAGGACATAACTGCCCACCATAACCGCTTTTAATTAAAGTTTAATTTCAGACCATCCTTTGTGGTGACTTTAGGTCTCTGAGTTTGCAAGACTGCCATGCAGGCCTCCCCTGAGCTTGTCAGGTCAGCATGTAACCCCTTTCGTCCACAGATTCAAACCACATCCAGGGGGGGAGGGGGATTGGCCGTGGGGGATGCCAGCTTTTCCGATGGCAGTGACCAATTCATTGCACAAAGCTTACATCCACCACCCTCCCCATCAGAGGAACTCACCCAAGATGCTCAAACACCTGGGCAGGCGTGGGCTCACAAAGTCAAGCCTGCACGGACACAGGGGCACAGCTGGGGGGGGGGGGGGGGCCACCAACCCTCCCTCCTCACATGGCCGAGGGACCTCACCCCCCAACGCCATCCATCCTCCCAGGAAAACACCTTCACATGCTTCACATAGAAAATCCCATCATCTTCTCCATCACTCACACACCAAGCCTCTGCCACCTCACACATCACACAATTGCATGGCCCAGCTACAAACGAAACCTCCACAAAAGGGGCTCCTCACAACACTGGGGACTGCTGGCCTCGCTTCCAACACACTTGCCTGGGGGGAGCAAAAACACACACAGCACAATGGACAGGGGGACCGCGGGCCTCAGGGCACATGACAAATAGGAAGACACCTTTTCCCTTAGCACCAGCGAGGCTGGGACGCGGTCACAGTCAAGCAGCAATTTCAGGCGCGGGATAGAGCCAGTCTTAGGCATTTGGGACAATTGGGGTACAAGGAAAAAAGACAGGGACACACACTGGGAGAAGGGACATTGCCACAACACAAGCAAGCCAGGGGCACTCACGTCTCCAGAACACAAGGGAGCACCAACACTCGCATTTGCATAACACAAACGAAATGCAAATGGCCCACAAAGGTCAATATTTACAAAATAAAAACAAAGAAGCCCTGCTTTCAGGTGCAAAAGAAGAAAGCCCACAGGGAACGAGGGGGGACAACCTCACGAGACCCATGGGAGGGTCAACCTTGGAGCCCAGGACTTACTAGGGGAACCAACTCCAAGGGGAATATGGACCCAGCAGAGGGAATAGCAGGCACCACCATCTGCACCCTTGACAGGACATACGGACAGGAACCCAGTGGGACCCTTTTCACCCTCCCTACGTGGCAGTCTGGACTTGATCTTCAAGACATCTCCACACTTACTACAACACTTTCTGTCCGGGAATTCATTCTGCAATTCCGGCGGAAAAAAAATACGGGTTCCAGTACAAAAAGGACGGAGCCACGGGATCCCCCTCCCCCGCCTTATAACACCCGCTACCGAGGGGCACCTCTGCCCTCAGAGCCCACTCAGGAGCCTCACATCCTGCAGGGAGGACAAGCCAATCTCTCCATCACACACACACACACACATTCCTCCTCAGCTGGGTCTTGGCTCCACCTGCTGGACAAGCAGGGACAGGCCTTTCCAAATGCAATCCTCTCACCAACACGGGCAGACACACATGGGTTCCCACCTTCCTGGGAGGAAGTTTACAAGACTAGGATGCTCTCCTCCCTCCACACTTCCATTCCAAGGAACATCTTTTCATTCGGAATGCCTGTGTTTTTTTTAAAATCTTATTTCTGTAGCGTCATATTCGCACAAGGAGTGAGTGGAAGAAAAAACAACAGTACAAACCTTTCACTTTCAACAAAGATTGCTTCTCTTTCCTCAGCAGATTTCAAACACAGTGAACTTGGCATGACAACTTCAAAGGATTCACATTCTGAAACGAGGACGCACTGCTTGATGCTGACACATTCACATTTACAATACGGCAAATAACACCACAATCCTACTTTATCGCATGGCCACTCCAACAGGAGGAATGCCTATAAATGCCACGTGCTCAAAACAGCCCCAGGAAGGCATCTTTATTTCCGCTTACGGTGCCTGGGAATGGTTGCAAATTGACATCTTTCACAGGGAAGATGAGCACTAGCCCATGCTGCATCAGCTTCACAGATACACCTGATACAACCAACACTCTCTGCTTTCTTTCAAAAGGCCACAAAATCAGCAGCTTCGACACGGTCAGAAAGTCGCCTCACAGGGAACCTCAGGGCACCCGTCTCCAGGACGGCCCTTCAAAGGGCTGCAGGGGGTGCACAGCCCACAGCCAGAACAGTGACTTCAGGGAATTCTCTAGCATCAGTGATTCTCTCTCAGCATGGATATTTCTCTCTCCTCACCTCCCTCCCTCCCTCCCACCCTCTCTCTCACTTCCTTTCTAAAATAATACAAATAACTTCCTACCTAAATAAAAACATTGTTTCTGTAACAAGCCATTCAGCACAATCTTTTTCTCCTGCTACTAACACGTTCCCATTACAAAAAATGGCTCCCCCGCGCTCAGGCCATGCTCCCCGGGCTGGGCCCAGGGATGAAGCTGGCAGCCACATAATTCAAGAGTAACTCACCTTTTTTCCTTAAATATGTATTTTCATATTTTCTTAATCCTCACCAGGAGTGAGAATATTTTTCCAATTGATATTTAGAGAGTGGAAGGGAGGAGTGAGGAAGGGGAGAAGAGAGAGACGTGACAGAGACACATCTACTGGTTGCCTCCCACACGTGCCCTCACTGGGGATGGGATCAGACCTGCAGCCCAGGTAAGTACCCTTGACTGTGAGTCAAACCTGCAAGCCTCTGGTGCATAGGACGATGCTCTAACCACTGACCAATGCCGGCCAGGGATGCAAGTCCATATTTTATATTTTTTTAATTTACAGTAATTTAATGTCTGAGAATTTTTAGTGTTTGCAAAGCTAAATTTTGAATGATAATGAAAAATTAAGCAACCATTATTGCCTACATTGACTTGTATTAATTTTTTTTTTAATTTAGGCACCCAAAGATCCCTGCATTATGGCCATTTTAAGATGAGATTTCTAGTGAAATCACCTTATTTCTGTAAAGTGCTTGTCAGTAATAGAATTCCTATCAGGAGTATTATTGAAGGCTGGGGTCTGGGAGTTTCCAGCCTTGGAGGCACAATTTCCCATGTAAATTGTAGTGGGGTGTTTTGAACATTGGCAGTCTGAGCAAATTCTCTAAGGGCGGCTATGTAGTGGGTCCAAGTGTGCAGCTTATAGGTTGAGCTCTTCGAGGCTCTCAGCCCTTGAGTGGTATTCAACCCTCTTCTGTGCCTGTTTCTCTCCTCAGCTGTCTAATACAGCCATGAGGACTGGGAGCACTAGGTGACCAACCTTTATATGAGCGTCCCTGGATGAGTCAATTTCTTCATTACAGCTGAGTTGGAGGTTCCCTGTGGAGCCCTTACAGGTCATGAGGAATGACCTCTGACACCTCCACCAAGATTTTTAGTTTCCTAAGAGCATGAGACATTCAGGCTGGAGAGAGGACCTGCCCCTTATCTTAGGAGCTGAACTAGTTCAGCTCTCATTTACACAGCAAAGGCATTTGTTCAAACTCTCAGAAAACAATTCAAATGGAAAAGCCAAATTTAAAAACCAGGCACCCATTTTTCCTGTCTCACCTTATAGCCTGGGTTCTGATAACCTCTAACCTTGTCAGGTTAGCAAGTGGCCTGTTTTCATCCACAGAGTGAAACAAAGGAAGGGATGACAATAGAAGAGACAAGATCAAGGGGCCCTTGGAGACAGGTTCAGGGAGCTAGCCCAAACGAGGTGCCACTGCCCACTGCTCCCCCATTGCAAGTCTCACAGGGACAGGGACCTTTAGAGCTTAGAAGAAACAAAGTAAAAACAGGAAATAAGAGAAGGGAAGATACAGGCATGAGGAACAACGCACACCTTTGTTTTAAGGGTTTTACCTGTTTTATTTATTTGGGTTTTTAAATACGGTTTTATTGATTTCAGAGATAGGAAAACAGAGGGAAAAAGAGAGAAACATCCATGTGAGAGGTATATCCATCACAAATGGTGAGATTCATCAGTTGCCTTTTGTTGAACCCACAACCTGGGCATGTATCCAGACCTGGAATTGAACAGGTGACCTTTTGATGCATGGGACGATGCTCAACCAAGCTAGTCACAATGGGTAGAGCAAAGGTTTTACCTGTTTTGGTTTTGTTTTGTTTTGTTTTTTAATCCTCACCCAAGGATATTTTTTCATTGCTTTTTAGAGAGAATGGAAGAGAGAGGGAAAAACAGAGAGAAATATCGATGTGAGAGAAACACATTGATTAGTTGCCTCCTACACAAGCCCCGACCAGGGCCCGGGCCAGGGAGGAGCCTGCAACCGAGGTACGTGCCCTTGACCGGAATCAAACCCGGGACCCTTCAGTCCACAAGCTGATGCTCTATCCACTGAGTCAAACGGACCAGGGCAAGATTTTACCTGGTTTTTAAAGGTGACAATTTTAGGGGAGGTCTCAATGGAATATCTCAATAGAATATTTATCAACTCTCCAAGTCTGTCCTTTGCTATGCTGATGCATTACAAAGAGCATAAACAGTGATAAGAGTCATTCTCTGATCAGTTTCACCTTTAAAAATGTCACTGGAAAGGGATCTGAACCAAGGTGGATCTGCCCAGACATGGTCTGGAACGTGTACCCCATTTGCTTCTAAGCATTCTAGGTTAGGGAAGATACGTTTTTGTGATTTATTAGTTGTGCCTATAAATTACTAGGCCCTGTTACAGTCTCAGATTTTCCATTCCACTTGCCAAGGACTTTTCCTAGGTTTTTCATAACCAGCCACAACTCTATAAACTTGGGAACTCTTATTAGTGTTGAATTCAACGCCATGACCATCAGTGGACAGACACTAGATGCCATAGCCATAATCAGGACCCCAGACACACACCCTGCACTCCAGAACCTGGACCCTATAGAGAACCACACACCAAAACCTGGATGCCCCAACCCTGGGACTCAAACTCAAACGATTCCCCCGACTCAAACATGCTATGCAGCACAAAAGCCAGAAACTGATACCAAAGACTGACAGAGGATTCTTAAGAAGAGATTCCACACACCGGCATCTGAATCTATAGCTGCACTCGGACCCCACACAGAACCCAGGACACAAAGCCACACCCAAAGAGACCCAAAACCCCAGACACACACCTGAATACATATTTGACCCAAAACCACAGACCCTGGACATATAGCAGAGATCTATGACTAAGATGCATTAGCCACAACCCAGAGCTGGAGACAGACACCAGACCTCAGTTGCCAAATGCCAGATGCATGAACTGAACCAGATCCTCATGTTGCACAAAAACCCGTGATTCAATAAAGAGAACCCATGTCACTCTAAGTCCAAGCAGCTAGTTTCACAAATACGTTTTTTTCATGCCAATGTCAATGTACAAGAGAAAAAAATAATTCCAGAATTTCAAAATCCTACCAAACCCTGCAGTGTCACACACATAAGGCTAACAGAATGGAAAAGTAATGATGCTGCTTACCTTTGCTGGCAGCTGTCCATTATCTCTCGGCTTCAGCGGTGTCAGAAGTTAGCTGTGTCCCAGCCGATAATTACACAAGGCCGGCTCTTCAAAACTGTGGGAGATTTAAAAAGCAATTATTTGCCTCATACCTTGTACATTCTAACAGCTGGGCTAATAACCAAATTAACATGATCAAATTGACAACAGATGCACTACATCTAATATATGTACAAGGAAAACTCACATACAAATGAATGCCAAAGACAAGAAGGCAATATTACAAACAGGAAATGTTGGAAAATGGGGAACCAGAGTCTTAGACTGTGGAGGTGAAATGGGTGATATTTAGGAAAAGTGCAGGATATGTGGTATGTTAATTTCTGTTAGGTGATCTCAAAAACTAGAGGATGGGAAGAAGGGGTAAGATATGAGTATCAAGAAACTCCTGGTAGCCTGGCCAGTGTGACTCAGTGGTGAGCATTGACCCATGACCCGGGAAATCATGTTCGATTCCCAGTCAGGGCACATGCCCAGGTTGTGGGCTCTATCTCCAGTAGGGGGTATGCAGGAGGCAGCTGATCCATGATCGTCTCTCATCATGGATATTTCTCTCTCTCTTTCCCTCTCCCTTCCTCCATGAAATCAATACAAATATATTTGAAAATAATAAAGGAAACATCTGAAAAAGCAAATGAATGAATAACAGCTACCCTGACCAGATAGAAAAATATATTGTGTTATAAAGCTACAGTAATTTAAAAACTTGGGTAATGTCCTGTGAAGAGAAAAGTTGATGGAACAGAATGCAAAGCCAAGTAATAGACTAAAATACATATGGAAATTTGGTGTGATAACAACATCTCCTTAGAGCAGTGGAAAACAGTGTTGGAACAACTGAATGGGAAAAAATGTTGAAACAGAAGCAACTCATTTCACTCATAACTACTATAAAAACTAAAAGCTACCTAAAACATAAGGGTACAAAGAGATCAAAAGTGAAAGAATGGAAAAAGATATATTAAGCAAACATAAACCCAATAAAAATTATACGATAACACACAAGTCTTAAAGGCAAAAGCTTAACTATAACTAAAGAAGATCACTTCGGATCAATAACTTCATTTTACCAGGAAGATCCAAATTCCCAAGCACTTCATAACATGGAATCAAAGTACAGAGAAGAGAGCTACAAGGGGAACTAGACAATTCTATAATCATAATAAATTTATAACCATAATACATATAACACACTTCTCTCATTCTGAGACAGAGCACACCTCTTTCAGAACCAATAGTCCCCCACAAAGACCCCAGTAAAGATGTAAAAACTTCAACAACCTGAGCAGCAAACTGTAGTCAAGGTTCTGAGACCCACTGTACCCAACAACCTTACCTGCTGAAAGGCACGAAGATGTTATTCCCAGGTTGCACACGAGGTGGCAGCAGAGGGGCACACTTCAATTATAGTTGATGAGACCTCGCAGTGCTATGAAGCAAGTTTCAACAAACTTCAAAGAAATGAAATTATATACGGTACGTTTCTTGTTGTCATTGCAGTTAATCTACAAATCAGGAACAGAAGGCACCTAGAAACTCCTAATATTTAAGATTTATCAAATACACTTCTAAATAACCCCCAAAATACATCACAATTCAAGTTAGAAAATAATTTGAAGTAAATGATAACAGTACATACCAAAACGTATGGTGAAAAATGTGCAATCATTTATGCACATATTAGGAATAAAAGCTGAAAATTTATATGTTTTGCATCCGTATCAGAAACCTAGCCTGTCCGGTGTAGCTCAGTGGTTGAGCATTGACCTGTGAACCAGAAGGTCACAGTTTGATTCCAGCGCACATGCCGGGGTGGTGGGCTCCATCCCCAGTGGGGGGCCTGCAGGAGGCAGCCGATCCATGAGTCTATCTCATCATAGATGTTTCTTTCTCGCTTCCTCTCTGAAATGTATATACCGAAAAAAGTAAAATAAATGGAGAGAAAACAGAACAAAGACAACGTGTGCATGTATAGATGTCTGAAGGGGGATATACGTAAAACCATAGCAGGTGTTTTTTTTTTTACTCTTGGGGTAGAATTTTGAATTAATTTTATTTTTTCTGCATTATTTAAGTAAACTGCAACAAACAAAGGCATTTTCATTTTAGAAAAAAGTGTCCTAGAGGAAAACATGGGATAATCTATAATAATAAAAGCATAATATGCAAATCGACTGAATGAACAAACAGCAGAATGACCGTCCAGACAACCTTCCGGACAACCACGCTATGACACACACTGGTGCCAGGCCAGCCAAGGCAGGAGCAATGAGATTGGTTTGGGGGCCCTGCCATTGCCCCACAATCACCCTGCAGAGGGAGGCCCCGGCCCCCGGCCGGCAGGAAGATGATGGGGGGTGAGGTGGGGGTGGGGCTCCATGGTCACTCCAAAGAGGGAGGCCCAGGCCAGCCAAGCCATTGCACCCCACACCTGTCACCCGCAGAGGGAGGCGACAAGTGGCGGGGGAGGGGGGCAGCACAGAACAGATGGCAAGCAATGGCAGCGGCAGGGGTGGGGCCAGCTGCCAGCAGCCCAGCAGCCGGGGAAGGAAAGTACCGAAAGGTCCTGATTGCTGGCCAGGCCTAGGGACCCTACCCAAGGGGTCCCAGATTGCAAGAGGGCGCAGGCCAGGCTGAAGGACACACACCCCCAGCACGAATTTCATGCACCAGGCCTCTAGTCCTATCCTATCTAATAATAGCCAAACATGGTAATTGACCATACCTTTGCTACACCTCCCATTGGCTAATCAGTGAGATATGCAAAATAACCGCCAACAAAGATGGCGGCTAATTTGCATACTGCCGGCAGGGCAGGACCGCATGAGCCGCCAGCGCAAACCACCATCCAGGCCCCCGTGGGCGATGCCAGAAGCCACCTGCCTGCCGCCCGGGACCCGATCCAGTCCCGGGCCGCAGGCACACCAGCCCCGCAAGCCCCAGGAGCCACCTGCCTGCCATCCTGGAAGCCCCAGAAGCCGCCAGATATGACAGTCACTCTATCAGTAAGCACTCTGAAAGTCAGTGGCATAAATGCACCAATTAAAAGACAGATTATGAAGGTGAATCAAAAACAAAACCCACTTTAAATATAAAGACACATATACATTAAAAGTAAATGAATTAAGCTGCAGCCTGCTTTGCTCAGTGGATAGAGCATTAGCCCGTGGACTGAAGGGTCCCAGGTTCGATTCCAGTCAAGGGCATGTACCTCAGTTGCTGGCTTGATCCCAAGTCCCTATCAGAGCATGTGCAGGAGGCAACCAATCAATGTGTCTCTCCCTTTCCCTTCACTCTCTCTAAAATTCAATGGAAAAATATCCTTGGGTGAAGATTAACAAAAACAAAGTAAATGGATTAAGTAACATTAAAGAGATTATAAGAAAAATATATTCCAAATTTTGTTAGTTGTATAATGGTTATGTTTAAATTATTAACACCTAAGAAATTGGGTGAAGGGTACATATAATATGCTGTAGTATTTTATAGTTTTTTTACATGTATGAGATTATTTCAAATTAAAATATTAGAAAATTAAAAATAAAATATTAATTGAAATGTATCTGCATTACATGAAAAATCTCCTAATTGCTTCTAGCATAATTTATTAAATTGTGCTAAAATTTACAAGGGTTCAATTAAAAAATATCTTGATTCTAAATGATATAAAATATATAATAGTGCAGTTATAAGCACTTATCTGAAAATAAAAATTTAAAGAAGTGAATTTAAAGAAGGGATTAGCCAAAGAAAATATATGCACAACCCATGGACATACACAACAGTATGGTGATGGCCAGAGAGAAGGGGGGGGCAAGAGCTGGGTAGAGGGGGCAAAAGGGGAGAAATAGGGACATCCTATCCTATCTAATAATAGACAAACATGGTAATTGACCATTCCTTCGCTACACTTCCCATTGGCTAATCAGGGTGATATGCAAATTAACTGCCAACAAAGATGGCGGTTAATTTGCATACGTAGGCACAATGCTGGGAGGCGAAAGGGGAAGGACGGAAGAAGCCGCCTGTCGCTGATGGTAATCGGAAACCCAGGCGGCAAGCAAGAGCCAGGTGGCAGAGCCTGCCCTGGCCCGTGATCGGAGAACCGGGGCCACCTTTGCCTGCCCCCCGGCTGGTGTTCGGAGAAGTACCTGTATTTTTTTTTTCAAAGTACCTGTATTTTTAATAATTTCTTGACATGGTAAAAGAATTTTACATTATGATCCAAGGGTGGTGGGGTGAGAAGGAGCGGCAGAACAATCCAACAAACAAAAAGGGAAACAGAAATGCATGGTGGAAGGGATTTGAAGGGTGGGTAGGGGCATTGCCCAACTAAAATGCAATTGGTTTGTTACTGAGTACTATTCATGGGAAGACAGCATCCTGACTCCTTCTCTATACAGCATACTGGGAGTAATAATGATGCATCCAGGTGGAAATATGATTAGGGGTTGGAAGACAGACAGGGAAAGAAGAAGTCAGAAATAGACACTGAGAGAGTCCCTGGCTGGCTGGCTGCAAATACTGACTCTCCAGTAGTGATAGAATAAAAAAGTGGGGGATATCTCTAGAAGATTCAAGAGATAGGGGGCAACTCTTCTATGGCTTTGACTTGCCCAGCAGATTTCCACATATACACGTGTACACGCCTATGTTTACATGCACACACATATACACATAACTGACTGCCCTTCCTGGAAGCACAGAAGAAGAAGAAGCCACCAGAAGAAGAAGCCGCCCACCTTTGGTCCAGGCGCCAGTGCCTGCGGCTGGCTGCAGCCCAGGAGACGGACAAGCCACCTGCCCAAGGTCCCAGGCTGCAGCCACCTGGAGAAGCTGCCAGCCCTGTGGTCCAGGGCGCCAGCACCTGTGGCCAAGGAAACAGGTTCCCTCTTCTCCTACTGCAGTCATTACTTCAATATTCCCCTTCTGAATTTCTCTCCTGTGCTGCAACCCAACTCCACTTTTCATCAGAAAGATACGGAACAGAGAGAGCAGTGTTAAAAGCTTACAGTTTTAAGCCAGTAAGGTTGGTACTTAAACATATAAATGGAAAACTAGAGTCCTTAAGGTAACAAAGGCTACAAAGGACAGGGACAGCTCATGACCTATTATACTCAGCAATCCATATGGGGACTGAAAACTTTGCAATGATGACAATTAGTGAAGATATGAATCAACTAAAATAGTTGACAGGGACAATTCTTCCATTTGTGAAAATATCTACATCAAATCTGTTTAAATAGATTTTCATCTGCAGAATAGAACACATTCTGACAAGACCACCACCACCACCAATGTGGTCAGTGTTGTGCCGATAAATGTTTAATAACTGAGGGCCACCCCCGCCGAGTGCACAAATTTTTGTGCACCAGGCTACTAGTATAATAATAATAAAAGGCTAATATGCACATTGAACGGCAGAATGACCGGTTGCTGTGATGCGCACTGGCCACCAGGGGGCAGACGCTCAATGCAGGAGCCGCCCCCTGGTGGTCAGTGCACTTCCATATGGGGAGTGCCACTCAGCCAGAAGCTGGCTCATGGCTGGCCAGCACAGTGGTGGTGGCAGGAGCCTCTCTCGCCTCCGTGGCAGCACTAAGAATGTCCAACTAACGGTTTAGACCCGATCCCTTGGGGGCCTAAGCCTTTAGTCGGACATCCCCCGAGGGCTCCCTGGCTGCCAAAAGGATGTCTGACTGCAAGCTTAGGCCTGGTCCTCCAGGGAATGGGCCTAAGTGAACAGGTGGACATCCCCCAAGGGGTCCTGGACTGTGAATGGGCGCAGGCCGGGCTGAGGGACCCCCCCCCCAGCACAAATTTTTGTGCACCGGGCCTCTAGTTTATAAATAATAAGTTAGACTGTTGTGGTGGCAACACAAGTCTTTCCTTTGCTCACCAAGCTTGGCCTCTTCGTCTAAAAAGAATAGAAGCTCTTTCTAATTGTTTAGCCCAAAGTGGCTCCTTTCATAATCTGCACCTCTTTGTGTGCATTTCCAGCAGTTCTGGGAGGGAACTCATAAGCTTTGGGTCCCTGGAATTCACCTGAGCCTGGTTCTAACATCTACGAGTGATGTTCTTTTGAACACAGAACAGACCTCTCAGGGTCGTCATTCTTTAAATTGTAAAATTCACACACACATGCTTTTTTTTGTTAATCCTCACCCAAGGATATTTTCTTCATTGATCTTTTAGAGAGAGTGGAAGGGAGGGAGGGAGGGAGGGAGGGAGAGAAACATCCACGTGAAGGAGACACATCAGTTGCCTGCCTCCCATACTCGCAGGGGATCAAATCTGCAACCCAGACACATGCCCGTGACTGGGACTCAAACCCAAGACCCTTCGGGATGGGGGCCGATGCTCTAACCACTGACCTACACCGGCCAGGCCGAATCCCCATTTTATAGCTTTAACAT